TATTGGAACTAAGCTGGAAAAATAAATATGAAGGTCAATTAAATTATAAAACTTGAGGTAAAGTTCTTTTTTTACATTTATTTGATACATTTTAATCATAATTATTTATTTAGTGGTTCACTTCTGCTTTTAATTCTAATTATGTCAGTGTCGGTCCTCCGTACAGCAGAACTTGGAAGAGGTAGTTCAGGGACTGAATCAGGTGTGTTGGAGCAAGAAAAATGTAAAACATGTAGAACTGCGGCCCTCCAGGACCTGGATTGCCCACCCCTAGTTTAAATCCAGTAGCACCCCCCAAATGTTTAATGTAAGATTTTACAGATGGCTTCAAGCTGCACGGATCTGTGTAGAGGCAGTATGGTTTCCACTGAAACCAACAATAATATTAGTTTCATTCTAATTAAAATGTAGAAAAAAACATCCAAGACTTTACTCGATTATATCGCGGTTTTAGTGAAAAATAATGAACTTAAAGTAGATCTGAGTGTTGTCTGTGTAGGGATGAAATGAGATGTTAAATTTTTTAAAGATGGTGCCTAATGGGAGCTTTTAGATGGGAAAATAAAATGAGTCCAAGTATAGATCTTTGGGGAACTCCCAGGAGGGCAAAGGAGGAAACAGGTGTGAGGCTTACAGAGAAACTCCCGTCAGACAGGTAGGACCAGAATCAGTGTGTTGCACAATCCTTTTGCTGTGTTCTCTTTGCAGCTCAGTTTCAAATTTCTTGCTCAGATCCAATTTTGTTATTGCAGGGCTTACATTATTATTTAAATGCAACTGTCATCACTTGAACTTTTGTGGAACTGGATGTTTTACATGATAATGGGAGTCATAGATTAGCTTCTGAGAGGCCCAGTGAGAATGACATTTGACTTTGCTCAGCTGTTTTTCTTTCCCAGTGATGCAAATAAAATCTTATCTGTTCATTCAGGCTTTTTAGATTGACTCATATCTGTTTTAAATGGGTCTGTGCTATAATATGTCATCCCTTTTATTACATTTTCTGCAGGTATGAATATCACTGGGCTGATGGGACAAACATCAAGAAACCCATTAAATGCTCGGCTCCCAAGTATATCGATTACCTCATGACCTGGGTGCAGGACCAGCTTGATGATGAAACCCTTTTCCCTTCAAAGATTGGTAAGATTTCCTGACTGGTTTCTGCTTTGCTCTGAAGAAAAAAACTGTTTTTATGCATCAGCTGATATTGCATGTTAGAAAAGTTTCTTTAAGATCTTCTGATCAACATTTATACAGATGCATGTATTGGTAACCCTCAATAATAAAAAACAACATAACTGATAAGACTTAGAGCGGGGTGGGCAAACATGGTCCTGGAGGGCTGCAGCCCTGCATGTTTTACATGTTTCCCTGCTCCACCACACCTGCTTCAATCACTGAACTACCTCTGCCAAGTTCTGCAGTATGGAGGACCGACACTGACATAATTAGAAATAAAAGCAGAAATAGATAAATGAACCTTTAAATAAATACATTCATCGTGCACCAAATAAATTAGAAAGGAAAACTTTACCTCATGTTTTATAATTTAATTGACCTTCATATAAATTTTTCCAGCTTAGTTCCAATAAATTATAT